GTACTGTATAATGGACTCATTGGGTGCTTGTCTTGTCTCCAAAAAAACTTTCTTTCAGCAATGACCAATCTTTTTTTTTGGTCTTGTGTTCTTTTTTATCATTTTAATAATTTCTTCAGATGTCATTTCTTCTAATTCGCTCGAGTAACACATTGTCGAAATTTTCTTCACAGCTTTGCGCCCAGCGGTAACAAGAAATAAATCCGTTATCTCGTTCTCTCCTCCGTCGGTTTTTTGTCTCTTAATTTTTTTCATTCTTATAAATGCAGCAAAAGTTCTTATCCATGTGTTCTAGGTCGTCCAGCGAATTTAACGATCCTATCGGCGACGCCATTGTTATGTTTGGCATATCTCTCTGTGTAGCAGTTATCCGCGTTAGATTTCGCAGACGGGTTTGCTAAGCATAGTCTTTATGTTTATCAATTGTTTTCTATTTATACTTATCTATCTAATTTGCACACGATACTACAATTTTATTGGTTGACAGTTGTGTTTTGAGTTTTGAGTTTTGAGTTCGGGTTTACACAGAAAATAATTCTATCGATTCGTTATTACAAGAAAAACAAAAAAAAATTATGTGGAAAATCACATAATAATAATGGTAATATTAACCGTTTCCTTATAAGGGAATATCCTGCATCCCTTGACCGAGCAGTCAATCGATTTGAAATTTAAAAAACCTTCTCTTAAAATAATTTTCTTTTTGGAAAATAGGTTTTCTCAAGTCCAGTAGCTGTTTTTCGATGGACGTGTCCTTGTTAACTTTTTGTTCGAAGTAGTGTGGATGATCGACATCTTGATTATGTCATTATTTTCTCTACTCTCTATACTCATGTGGTATCCATTGTAGCTGTTGCAAGTCCTCAAGTGATGTAGTTTCTGTTATTTGGTACAGTACCTCTTTGCGATTTTGTAGCGTCTGTCCACAATGTTCGAAGAACTGTGGTTTTAGCCAAGTATCATGGGCTTCACGCACTAAAAGCCATTTTTAACCATTCATCTGAGAAAGCGTTTGTATACAAATGAGAGTTTAGATATTTCTGAACGGGTTTTTGGCAAACAACATACAGATAGTATATATTTTTGTTTACACTAGAAACATTCTATCAGAAAATACTGAAATTGATTAGAAAATGTTTCAGGGTTAAACTTTCGATGACTTTCGATGACATAGTATATCGCACATATAGCACTTGAAGATTGCGTTGTACATGGAACTCCGAGTCGTGTTAGCGGTGAGGGGTAATATGTATAGTTATTAATATATATATATATATATATATATATATATATATATATATATATATATTTATAGGCAGCATATTTTGATTCAAACGTGCTTCATTGAATAATATAGACATATTGTGTCTGCTTTCTTGATGTGAAATTCATCAAGGAAAGTGCCGTAGTTTTATTTAAGACAAATAATTTCGCCTTCAACTTTTTCTAAGATCATCTTCAAAGGTAAATTATAAATTATTGCACTTACAATATGTTGTCTTTGTAATTTGCCCCTAACGATGATTTGATTAGACAACTAGAAAGGATCAGTATAAAAATAAGTATCATCAAATATTTTCAGTGTAGAAGGGAAAAGAAAATAAAGTAAAAGATGGGATTCTAACAATTAAGATTCTTCAGTTTTAGAACCATCAAACCATATAATATTCATCAATGTCTGTTTATTTATATATATATGTCCTGTCCCATCTGTAGTGGGAAGGGTGGTAAATCAACTTAAGTCAATAAATTTATGAATGATTAATTTTATTAGTCATTTTAATCATATATACAAAAAACATATTTATCTACATTTAGATAAGTTTAGTTCCCGTGCAAAATGGACTGTTTAATTAATCAGTTCCTTTACACCTACGTTTCTTAGATTGCAGTCTTATTTGTTCAAGACTTTCAAGTGAGGCACTCAGATACCTTTGTCTATTAAGTGATCGTCTTGCTTCAACTTGGTTTTGAAATAGACTTTGTCGTCGCCGTCTTTATTGTTCTGTTCCTAATCTTTTCTTCCGAGAGATATTTCCATTTAACTTTATGTTAAACACAAATGTTTAACATGAAAATATATTTAGCAAGAAGCGATTTATATAATAATATTTTTATAGGAGTAATCAATCAATCATAGAAAGCATTGAATGTCTAAAAAGTAAAAAGGGAACGGATTAATTAAATGGTTCACTGGCCCCTATTTCAGTTGTGAATTCTTTATCTCTGCTTTATTGAACTCCAATACATTGTTTCAAGATTTTTGTTTCATTGAATTTTACTATTAAACCTTTCTAACAATTTCCGTCATTTTTGACAACTCAAGTATCCTAGTTTTACTCTCAGAGAGAAAAAGTTTAGGTTTGGAACCATTTCTTTAGCAAATTCTTGCAGTTAAAAAAGGAAGCTTAAATTTTGTAAACATATCAAGCAATGATTGGTTTTATTGAAAGTGAAAACAGTTTCTTATTCCTTAATAGAAATTAGATACTTTTAACTTACTTCAAACGTTAGTTTTAATGGATGTCCCAGTCTTAAATAGACGCCCTGCTTTTAGTTTAAACTGTGTATTGTGTCTATTGGTACTCAAGAAATCTTAAAAGAAAATGTCGGAGAGCACATTTTCTTTATTAATATTTCTCGAGTGCGCAGGCCGAGGGACGTGATACACATCATTTAAAATAAAAACGGAGCGTCTATTTCAAACACAAGTATCCACTAAAACAATGTCTGAATACTGGATTAAAAATAAAACTATTAATTCTTTAGAAAATACATTTACGCGTTAATATTTTTATTCTAGTTTACATACATTGCATCTTTGGAATATAGACTCACCTGCGTCTTCGCACAGGTGATTTATTATTTATTATTAACTTTGTAAGATAATAAAATCGTTCGATATTATTGAAGATACTATTTTAGAAGTAAGGAAGAAAGAGGAATTTATATCTAACCTGCTGCATTCACTTTCGCACAAAAGAAGACGTTTCTTCCCCTCCCAGCTATGGGTTAAATAGGGTAGACTGGGATATCTACCCTATGGGGTAGTCATTCTAGGAGAAAAATGCACTGTATTCAAATCAGTCGAGAAAACAACAGGAAAGCACTCCATTATCTTTCCGAAGAAGTTCATACAGTCCACAGATAATAAAGAAAAACAGTCTGAAGGGAGTCATAATTTCTGATATAAGGAAGAGACGTGACATTTCAAAAACATTACAGAAGAAGCGAACAGTAAGACATCATTACATTTGTAACGCTTTGTTAGTAACGTCGGATAAAAATACGGGACTAAATGACGAAATTTTTCGTACGTAAAAATTATTTATCCACTTTAAGACTCCATCAAATTAACGTCAGCCGAATCGAGGGTATGTGGTGTCAAGTCTTTCTTTGAACATTCGCTCTTATTCTCGCCCGGAGATAAGGAACCCTGTCTTCTCTCCTCGTAGCTCAGACATTTATATACACACTTCCATGTATTCGGTTGTCTTGTGTGTATCTCCTAAATTCAACCGGGTTGATTACATCTGCTGGTGCACACATCGACTTCCTTTGAAGTTCAATATTTCACTTGATGGTTATGAGGTGACCTTCTATATCAATTCTCTGAGGCACCTATCTCTTTTGATGTTCTGATGTGACACCGAGTAAAACGCTTAATTTGGTATCTTTTATAAATTAATAAATCAAAATAATAATCCAATAATAACTTTTTTTTTTACATTTGAAAGCTTGCGGAACGAGTCATTCAATTAATTTTGTCGAATTTTAACTTAAATGCTTTGGAAATATTAAATCATTTGTTGCTAGTTATTTACCGCCCAATTTTCATCGAAAGCAAACATAAAAGATTTTATTCTTTGTTGTAAAATATCCTTAGGTGTCGAAACTAAAAACTAAATTCAGGAAAAACGATAATAAACTTTATTTTAAAATAAAAAAATAGATTTTTTGGCATCAGTAACTGAATGCTTTTATCCATCTCCTAATGATTTTTCTGATTGTACCGTTTGTTCAATTGCGAATAATTGGCAAATGGTATTTTAGTCATGGCATCAAAACTGCGGTTAAAAAAACAAAACAAATGAATACAGTTATCAAAATTGGAATTTTTATTGCAAAATCTACGGAAGAAAAAGAAACAATAAATATAGTCACATATCTATCCACTAAATATAGTCACATATCTATCCACTAAATATAGTCACATATCTATCCACTAAAATCTCGAAAACTATCGGCATTTCAATCGTCAATCAACTCAGGTCTTTCATCGATAATGAATAACGCACTAGGTATCTTTGCAAAACAAAAATTACGAATGTTAATTTCCAAATTGTAAACATTACAAAAGTAATAATTATTAGACTTTCAAGATTAAAATTTTCTCGCCGGTTTTATGCACAAGTGTACCAAATACAGAAAAAAATTCAAATGAAGCTGAGTAAGGAAAACGTGTGTGCAGGTGTTAATATTTATTAGGTGTTAATATTTATTAGTGCACAAAAAATTGGCTGATAACATTCACTTGTATACAAAACAAAATAAAAAATAGTATCAGTATTTGTTTTTTATATAAAAAGTTATAGAGAGATATACTTAAAATTATCAAAAGAAATTATGACTGTTTTACAAAGCAAAATCATTTAATAGAAAAATAAAATAAACTAAAACTGATTTGAAGGCAGATATCTTCTTTATTAAATTATTAGACATAATTCATTACTAAATATTTTCTTATTACTGTTTCCATTATTATTGTTATTATTTCCGTTAATATTTAAGAAGTTTTAATTTTATTGCAGTAATTTTTTTTTTATTTTTGATACTTTTGTTGTAATTCAGTCAATGTTTATTAAGTATTAAATTACAATATCAGTTTTTATTGTTATGTGGATAGCGTTAATATGCTCTCGTTATTGCAAATAGGTGACTGGCTACTCATGCGCATGCGTACATTTTTGTTTAACACTGAGAAGGGGTTATGTGGGTACCTGCTGTTGTTTTGTTAGACGCGTCCTCCGTACAGATAATTTTGTTGCGGTCATTGTCAATTACGACACATTGTTGAACTGAAAAGATGAAGGATTGGTTTCATTGAAATTGTGAACTCGAAACCAGGGGATGAAACGAAACAGTTTAAAACGAATGGAGAAGATAGAAGAATTTCTACAACAACATTAATGACAAGAAAGAAAAGAAAAAGAAAAGAGGAAAGAGATAAGAATGGGGACAATAAACAAAATATGTTACCTATGATGCCTCAACTGTCATTAAAGCATTAAACAAAACAAAAAACAAAGCAAGTTTTATATTGAAATGTCAGGTTAACACAGAGGAGACGACTTTATGCAAATTGTTTTACACATTCTTATAATCAGAAACGTAATCAATTGGAGCATATTTTCATTTCTGCCAAGGACAGTCTTCGTCATTAACGAACCGTATTAATTGTGATTGAGATAGAAGAGTGGAGTTTCTCCTGATAGAGAAGATCAGCATTTCGAATACTGATTTTCAAGTCAGTAAGAACCTCCTTATCTGGTAGATTAGCTCAACGCAATATTTCATGTCCGATTTAACCATTCCTCCCCATTTAACCCTTTTCTCCCCATTGGACTATTTGTCCTGACCATTTCACCTTGTATCTCACCAAGTTATAGTTAGGAAATATCTTAAGCACAATGCCTTATGAATCCTCTAAAACTAACGAAACTTAAAACCGATTTATTAAATGAAAATTTAAAAGAAGCCAATTATTTCAATTTTTGATTGATGTAAACGGTAGATGGACGGTGAATCGAAGAAATAATGCAAACGAATCTTTCTAGCTGGGTCATTATAGGTGGATAACTTTTTAAATAAATTTAATCTTGTCAATTTTTCAATTTTACGATAATTATCGAGCAAATCAAATTTGTAAAAAGATCGTGAAAATATATTGTAAAGTTAACCTTTTTTGCTGGGCGTTTAAATCGATTGCAAGTAGTGATAACGTTGGAAATTGATTTGTGCGACGTCTGAAGGCAATGCCTTGCTGAATAGGCTTATAAGAACTTGTAAGTATATTTATATATAAACGGCCGCACTTTTTTCTTTCTTTATATATATATATATATATATATATATATATATATATATATATATATATATATATATATATATCCAAATGTAAAAAGAACGAAGAGTAAGATTTTAGCGCTCAAAACATTAATTTAAAGCAGGGCTCAATACAAAAGTAGAGCAATAAATATTTATTTATTATGCCGTGTTACATCAGAACATGCACATACCCACTACAAAACTGTACATCTTGTTTCAACGTTAATTTTTTTAACATTTCATCAGGTGGGAAATCACGATGCAACTAAAATATTTTATTCCGAAATCTTTCTTTCTTATATACATATAAATGATAAAATATAGTTTTAAGTTATGAAATATTTATGGATAAAAGTTGCTCAATATCAGGGATAGAGCATGTGTAAATATAAGAGTAGAAACTGAGGTCAGCACCGAGTGGAACGCAATCTTTTCTCTCTCTCTCTCTCTCTCTCTCTCTCTCTCTATATATATATATATATATATATATATTGGGGGAAATTTATGACAAAGTGGAAAAAAATTCATCTGTCGAGTTTCGTCCTTTAGGACGTCATCAGACTAAATTTGTTATGCTGGTGCGCCTATACACGCGCACGAACAAGGGATGCTGGGTATTTTAATATATATATATATAAAGACTGGACACTAAGGTCAACACCGGGTGGTGACAGTTTGTTTCATGCTTGAACGCTATCTTCAGGCCATCTAAATCCAGGCTATCTTCAGATTACCTAAAGATAGCGTTAAAGCATGAAACAAAATATTGCCACTTGGTGTTGCCCTCAGTGTCCTTAATATTTGTATTATTTGCAATCAGTCTATTGTCCTCATCTTTGTTGTCAATATGGCAATGATTTGTCAGATGCACCCTCCGGCCGTCTTCAGGTGTTTTTCGACACGGATAACCTTCAGGAAATTTCGAACTGAAAACTATTTTATCTATGGCGCTAGAATGTTCTCACCCCTCTGTCCATGACTAAAGGAGATAATGCGTCCTGTTCTTTATTTAGTTTTGCTCAGATCGCTCGCCGATTTGGTACCTGAATTTAGAGATATATTAACTATGAGTTCAATCTCTATGTTGGGTAGCACAGACTTAGACTCAATGATAACAATGCAAGTAAGTACTTAATAAGAATAAGAAACCTTATTTCCTCATTATATGTTTCTGAAATTTCAGTTGTCTCTGATTGTAACCAACAGTTTCCTAGTAGTTCCATTTCGCCTTAAAATCCCCTCCTTATTTACATTCTATATCCCAGGGATGGTAAAACATGCTTAATATAAGAACCACATACGTTAAAGTTCAGATGTTTGAGAGCCGCAAGACATGAACAAAATTTACATATGTTTTTGTTATATACACATTAAGTTACATTTTAATCCAATGGGGACTCAATTTATAACCAGTAAATAATTATAAAGATTGATATTTTCTTATTTACCTTTTACTGAGATAAAAAAAAGAAGCTCAGCCCACATATTTTCACAAGCCGCATATTAAAGGTCAACGAGCCGCGTGTGGCCACCGGTGCTATATCTGTTGTGATCTCAGCATTTCTCAGTACAACCACATTTTCGCAGTTTCAAGCCTATTCTTCATTTCTGAGGTATTGTCAAGCATTCACTGATACATAGGAAAGTTAATATATTACATATCATTTCAGCACTCATTTTTTTTTGTTTTAAAAATGTTTTCCTACTTTTTAATACTATGCTTACTTTCTGAAAGGCCTCTTCTGCTATCTCTACGTATCTTTCAGTCGCCAGAGAGTTAAATTTTTGCACCGGCATCATTTTGATGTAGCTCACAAATTGGGACGTTTCTTTTGTTGACAGCCATACCTACTTTTTTCTTACAGCTAATGGTTAGGTTTTCTTCTTGTTTTCCTCGACTAGCTTGTCTAAGATCTATTTAAATTTTATTTCGCAGTCTGTCATCTTCGGGTCTTAGGTTGTTAACATTTATTCGTTAGTTATAAATCCTGGCACGTTTAGTTTTCTTAGTAACGTTTGACTCTAATAGTAATGATAATATTAGCCGTTTCCTTATAAGGACACATTTGGCATTCTGTTATCACTCGCTCTTAGCAGTTGTAATATTATATCTCGCTTAAGTTACTCGCCGTGGCATCATTAGAAGTTTTCCTCGACTGACACTAACGGACTACCTTTGACACACTTTGCGTTCTTTATTTAAGGCGTCTTGCCTAGTTTATTTGTGTTACCGGGGTGTCTTATTTATTCCACAACATCCCGCTTTTTGTGATTTTTTTTTCACTAGTAAATATTTGATTTTCTTAGTATTCACACTCTCCTCTTTCTGGAGAGTTCGCCACGTACTGAATTTTGTATTTTCTTCCGTTTTGGGTCTCAGATTTGACGATTCTCTGATATTCGTCCGATATTTCTTGTAGTGTTAGTTTTTTTTTCTGTTCAAGTTTCATTAGAATTTTAGCGCGTATTTCTGTGTCATTTTTCGCCGTTACCCCTTGAACGAAAATTAACCCTTTAAACATCTGAGGCAGTTCGTTTAATTCGAATCTGTCACAATCCTTGTTAATGATTCCAGCATATATGACAAAATTTTTGTCTTCTTTTTTCATCAGATTCATACACTTCCAACGAGAATTGAATAACGAAATCTCGTAAATTTTTTTAGTCATATTTACTGTTTCTTCAAAGCAAATTTATCCAATTTTTTGTAGTATAAAATTACAGTATTTTTCATGTTTTCCCAGTGCTAACTTTCAAAACAACAGTATTGTTTTTTCTTGCCACTGGATCTAACCAACGCCTTTATCCACTGTGCCATGTGTCCAGAGGGTATGAATTTCTGGGTATTATAAATCTAATGTCTTCAGCAACCATTTTTACCAGTGCTCATATTGCAATTTTGCTGTTATCATTCCATGTTTTTACTAGAGCTCATGTTGCAACTATGTTGTTATCATTGCTTTTCTCTGGCACTCATTATTGGTTCCTATATTGTATTTATTTCTATGCTTGGTCGGCTCAGGAGTAAGACCCCCTATAGAGGAGAACATGACTAAAAACTGTGTGTACGCTATCCCGTGCAGCTGCGGAAAGGAATATAAAGGAGAGACAGGCAAGGTAAGGCTTCAAGAACACCAGAAAGCTGTAACGAGAGGGGAAGTAGAAAAATCAGGCGTGGCTGACCACATATGGAGAGAGAAGGGAGATCACCGCCCTCTGTGGGATCATGTTGAGATCATTGACGAGGAACACAAATGGAAAATTCGTAAACTTAAGGAATCAGCACATATGCTAGACCACAGAAATCTCCTGAGCCGACCATGACATTAGGTTTATAATACCCAGAAATTCATACCCAGATGTCCTCAATGACACATGGCACAGTGGATAAAGGCGTTGGTTAGGTCCAGTGACAGGACCCAAAGAATGTGAGTTCAATACTCGGTTAAGGCGGTTAAGGCACTGGAGAACTTTCAGAGGGAAATTAACAGGAAATAACTTATAACTGACATCTATCAAACATGGCACGTGGATCTAGAACAGTCTACTCCAGTGAGCGAAATAAAGAGTTCGACATTCCAACCATCTGAAGAAGGCCGGAGCGTACAACGGCCGAAACGTTGTGATAAATATGGCGACAAAGATGAGGACAATAGTCCGAATAATGTAAATAATGTTCACTGAACTCTTTCTCTATTCTCATATTTATTTGTTCCCAGTAAATGTTACAGATTATTTCTTTCCCTTGTAAATAAGGCTTTTTCTAAAATTTCAAGCAGCTTAGCTATAATTTCTTTTTCGATGTGCCATATCCCTTCAGGTCGTCTGCATCTATCTAGCCGTCGTAGCTCTAAGCCAGTGATTCTCAAGTGTGTGCCGCGCGATCCTCTTAAGTGTGCCGCCAAATAGTATCACAGCATATATGTGTGTGTTTGTTTGGAAGTAGTTATGGTACAGCGTTAGTATTTGAACAAATGAATATTTAAACTTTTTTCAACTAATTCTTTTCACTGTGTTCCTTCTATATCTGTCTATATTTCTGAGATGAGGTATTATATCCTCAAGGACACATGGCACAGTGGATAAAGGTGTTAGTTAGATCCAGTGACAGGACCCAAAGAGTGTGAATTCAATACCTGGTTAAGGCGGTGGAGAACTTCGAGAGGGAAATTAACAGGTGATAACTGATAACTGACATCCATTAGACATGGCACGTGGAACTAGAACAGTGAGCGAAATAAAGGGTTCAGTTCGACATTCCAACCACCTGAAGAAGGCCGGAGCGTACAACTGCCGAAACGTTGTGATAAATATGGAGATAAAGATGAGGACAATATTCCGCATAATGTAAATAATATTCCTTCTAATATTGGACTTCAGTTATGTAAAGAAGAAGAATTGGCCACCATTTCTAGTGATCGAGAGCTCAAAATAAAACATTTAACGGCAACCATTAATACAATTTGGATTTCAACACAAAAGGAATATCCCACATTAACTAAATAGGCTTTATCAGTTTTATTGCAATTTGCTATTTCATATTTATATGAATTAGGTTTCTCAACCCTAAATAACATAAAAAGTAAGAAGCGAGAATGACTACGCTGAACTGAAGAAGAAATGAGGGTCTGCTTATTGGACATTCAACCAAACATTGAAGAAATCGTGAAAAAGCACCAGGCGCATATTTGAAGCTAAATAAGTTGCCAAAATAGCTGAATAGAAACATTGAAATAAAGTAAGTTCATATTTGTGTGTGTGTGCGTGTGTGTGCGTGTGTGTGTGTGTGTGTGTTTAATCTATTTCATAATATTTAATTGCATATCCTTTAAAAATTTTGTTAAGTGTGCGGTGATATTTTTTTATTTGCTTCTAGGTGTGCCGTTGCTTAAAAGGTTGTTTTAGTTTTCCTTAAAACTTCCACTTTCTCCACATGCTCCATACATGGTATTCTCAATATACTACTGTAGAGCTGCAGCTCTGTTGTTCCGTCTGTAGACATGTCATTATCAGTAAATAAAAGCTTATTTTATTAGTCTAAAATCCAATGCAATTGTTAAAAATCAAAACGGCAGCTCTTATGTCTACATAAATACGAAAATAGGCTTTCTGTAAGAAGCAGGCACAGGTAAAAGTGATGCGAGTTTAATTGATTTACCGTCTCCCTAGGAAAAATATTAATATCTCATTATTTGAAACTGTTTTTTTTTTTATTGTTGTTTAAGATAATGATGATGAGAACTATCAGTTATGGGTCACCGAAAGATGAAAACAATTTTGATATGTTTTTGAAATTCTTAGATGAAACACTCGGATTATTATGATTTTTGGAATGTCCTCCATCTTTGAGCACAATCTTTCAATCTTATCATTTTTTATCACAAAACGCTTCGATGAGACTAAAAAGCGCGAAGACTCGCGAAACAAAAAAAAGTAATAACTTCGACAAGATTTGAACTCAAAATCCTCACTCCAGAAACCTTAACTATCTCGGTCACGAAACCTTGATGACTGATGAGGTTTTGGTCATTCCACTTTCTTTCTGATTTTTTACACTACCTTAATTTTGCTGCTTTAGTAATAGAAGGATTGTTTTTTCCTTAGATGAAGTGTATTTGTTTTATTTATGGCTGGATTCGACCGTTATTATGATAAAAAGCAATAATTATATTGTTGAGAAAAAGAAATAAATTATGTTATAAATGAGATAAAGCTTGAGATTAACTCTTTTATAGTGCCGATAAAAGGTTAAAAGCTATAAAAATCTATAAGCTATTTTAATAATTTGAGCAAGGAAAAAGTTGGAAACGAAACAAAAGTCCGTATCAAGAAATTTTAAAATAGAGACTTAAATTATCAGAGAAAACTTCCGATATTAATCGAATCTCAATTACTATTTGAATTATCATCAAATTTAGATCGTTAAACTTCATTTCTGTTCGAATAAAAAAAAACATCAAAAGAATGAAAAGGAAAATACTAAAAAGTTTATTTCAAACTATACACAATTTCATGTAAGAATAGTCTATTTCACTGATGTGAATAGAATCCACAAAAATAAAAAAACAAAAACAAAAATCTAACATAAATACAAATTGGAATCCTAAACATATAATAATCAATACTTGTGTTGTAACATTTTACAGGAACTCCTCAAAGAAATTCTGTTAATTCTATAAAGTAAGGTAAATACAGAAAATTATTTGCATTTTCTAAATACTTTCTTTCATATCAATGCGGATATTTTTTCGGAACTGAAGGAAAATCTTTCAGCAAGAAAGTAAAAGAGCCATATTTTATTTTAAGCTTAAATCACTTCTCAGATATTTTTAATATATAATTTAATTGGACGAAAAAGAAATATTTATGAGGTCGACTAGTCATAGTTTTAACGAGTATCAAGTATGATTGCACAGTAGCATTGCCCAATTTATACCGACAATCAGGGAAATATTTATTTGCAACATAATTTGTGTATTTATCAGCAATTATATATGCAATTATCAAATGAAATATGCAATTAGAAATTTTTATATAGATTTATTTAATAACACTATAATTTAAAAAAAATCGGCGACTACGAATATAGATTTTAAATTCAGATTTAAATTTAATCTATCGATAATAACAGGTTCATCCCCAGAATTAATTAAAGATAACGTCTGTATGCTGTCATGAAAGCTAACTTCCAAATTTTTAAAAAAGCCAAGCAGTGGTATCTGGGGGTGAGAAAAATGTTTCACAAATTATCATCGAATTTAGTTCATGAAAAAAGTAAAGAGGAAGGAAAAAGAAGCAGATTTTGAAGTGTAATAAAGCTTTTACCTCTATCTATTTCCGGCGTCTTGACACTAATATCGTTGATACTGACTTGACCGAACATTGACCAAAATAGACTATAAAATGTGTGTCGTAAACTGAAAAAAAAAAAGAAAGAAAAGAAAGCAAATATTAAAAGAGAAATGTAAAAGAACTCATTTGTCATTCGGAGAGCCATAATAAAGTCCGGTAATAATGAAAATATAGGGAAGATTAGGAAATTAGAATCAAGTTTTCTTTTAGACAAAAAAAAAAAAAAAAAAAATAACAGTCTTTATGTTTCAATTATTAGAGAAATATAAATATATATAAAAAATTATTTGACATGATGGTCATTTTCAGAAAGAAACAAAAATAATAGTCACTGAAGTTCACTGATACCATATTTTTCACATCACTGCACGGCCAGGAAGGCAAATCGGTGAACCGAGTTCAAAATCCGACCGAGTCTGTTGTGTTTCACTAATGCAGTTTGAGAAAGGCAGGTCTCAGTCTCTTTTTCCTCCAGCTATGATTTAAATAGTTGTGTAGAATGGATCTTAAGTGGCAGCCGACTTAGGAGAAGGGCGACTCTGAATTCAAACTCGTGGATAAAGCAATAGAAAAACACTTTTTCAAGAAGTCCTGACACGTCATAGAAAATAAAGAAAAATAATCTATGGCGAACTATGATCGCCTACATCCTGAAGGAAGATACCATAAAAATTGAGTAAAAGTTCCTTTTTTATGTTGGCATATGAAAAATAATAATGAAATGAACAGAGTGATGCAAAAGTAGGTATACAATAATAACACACAAAACGCACGCACAAAACGTATAATATTGTTTATACAATCACTGCATTAATATAGTATAATATTGTTTATACAGTCACTGTTATAATATTGTATAGTATTGTTTATACAATCACTTCTATAATATTGTATAATATTGTTTATATAATCACTGCTATAATATTTGCTGTATATTGTTTTGCCTCATGGTCGGTGTTCGAGTTCAGGACAAAAATGTTGGATTTTCTCATGCCGATTCTCATCCCAGCTAGGAAGTGGGGTGTGATTTAATTTTTTCTTCTATTTAAAAGAAATTTCGATGATGGTAAAAAATGTCAGCGCATTTCTGAAGAATAATTTGAAGATGCTCCGGAATGCGCTGAAGCGGTGTTTATTAAGGAAATAAAACATTGGTGTTTACAAAAATTTATACTAAATCAAGCCACATCAGATCACATAAAATCACACAATTTTTTATCTGATTCGTAACAATTTTTTGTCTGATTCGATGTGATGACTGTAGAATTGTTTAATCTATTTTTTGACGTCTTCCCAAACAGTGTTCGATCAAATGTGTTTCTATTCAAAGAAATATTCTTTTGTCTTAGTAAACTCACCCTTGGAATGCGCCTGCGGCATGTACATAGACTGGTTGGCCATTCACAGACATTTTAAATTTTTGTGCACCGTAATACCAATAAAGATTGTGTAGGCCCACCATGAAAGCGAACAAAACCTACAAAAAAGAAAGAACATAAAACTATGAGATTGTTTTAGATAAATTTGCCTGTTTTTATTTGATGCAGATTATTAAACCTTGACAGCGAGAAATAGTGATTTTTTATTTATAGACTTAACCGTAATAACATAAGATCCGTAGATCATACTGATGACAGATACAGAAATAAAACTGCAGGAAATCCTAGACAATGTAGTAAAAGAAAGAGGGAAGAAAGGACTAACCATCCGCTGTAAGATCTATATCCATCTATAGTAGTTAGTTTGAGGGAAAGCAAACTATGAACTGGAGACGTCAAAATCAAACCAGTAAAACAAAATTATTTATCTGATAAGTATTTTAGTAGTCGACGTAAAATGACACAGAAGTCTGAAGATGCAGTGGAATAGCGAACGATGTTTTCCAAAAGCTAAAGAAATTATTAAGAAAAAGGAAAATTTCTTTAGAAAGAAAGGAAACAATACTGAAATACTAAGTGACATACCAAACCTCAAATGGTAGTGAATATTGAACAATTTCTTAAAGATGAGGAGCAAACGTGAACCAGTATAGAAGGATGCTGCGAATACCATGGATGGAGCATGTGAGTAACGATGAAGTTTTAAGGAAAATGGGAACCACAAGGACATTTGTACTAAGGACATTTGTATAAGAAAGAGTTGGGACATATAATGTACAAGACATACTAGTGGCAAGAAGGGCAGAGGGGAACAGAAACTAACCCAAGTAACGAGATTGTGTGAATGGACTGGGTGTGATCATTGGAGACAAAAATGTGATAGAACTAACCTCCAATAATTCGGTGAAAAATGAGCATACCTGATGAAAAAAGACCCAAACTTAATAAAAACAGTTTTATCCTCAAATTGTTTATGTTATTATTAAGAAGAAAGACCATTGTTTTTTTAAAATTTTTTACTCTTTTCTAACACATTCGAAATTTGTGTTAAAAATGTTATTTTTTGTCGACGGTGTAATTGATATTTTCGTGCCTCCGTTTCCGGTGAAAAACATTAATTTTGAAATTTTTGTAAAAATCAAATAAATGCTGGATTTGAATGAAACTTTTAGGACTTATTCACAAATGTATGAACTTATTCTTGAAATTATTATCTTTAGAAAATCTTCGTAAAAATATTTTTTTTTACATCAGTTAAACACTCCCTTTACTTAATTTCATAAAATTTTCTAGAATTTAAAATCGTCACCGAATGGTTAAAAGCCGGACACCATGGAGAATGTAAATCATCAAATTCTTTTTTCCTAACTATTACCTATTTTTCTTTTTGTTGCTCCAAATCGTAAAATAAAAACTGCAATAAAACTATCTAAATATTTAATTAGATCAGCTTTTAATTGCTTCTATAAAATTAAGGACATTTTCTGAAGAAAAAAATTTCGATGAATAATGAATTTTTAAAAGAATTGTTTGCATTTTTGTTTTTTAATTATAAAGTTTCAAAAATGTGTTAAAATTCTTCCAAACATCAATATTGTTAGGTTATTAAGTTAAGTGAAGACTATATTTAATAAGCGAAAATTTTAAAACTTAATACAAATCATCCCACCAAAAATTTTTACAATCATAAAAAATCTTTTAGTGTGTCAAAATGTTCTTTATTTAAGTATCGTGTTTCATATGCAGCATCATTGTTAGAAGGTTACGTTTTCGAGGGTTGTTTCCCTTACGCTCATAAATCTTTAAAAATAATTTGTTTTTATTTACTTTTTTAATTTTTTAAAAGTTTCTTTATTCTTTTATGTGAATTATATTTTGAAAAACAAAACAAAACAAAAAAACGTTTGAAACGTAACCCTTTGTTTCATTAATAAACTCAATGTTTAGTTTAATTATTTTTATATTTTATTTCATTTACATTTGAAATTCATTTACTTTGTCATTTTATTTTTAATTGTGCTACGTAACTCCACTAATTCTCGATACCTAAATTTTAAAAATGAACTTAAAAAAAAAAAAAAAAGCTTTCTTGAAGCTTCCATTTTAGCTTTAATTGAAAGCTAAATGATTAAAAAAATAAATTTTTACTATTTCCAGTAAGCAAAATAGTCTGGTGTATTTCAAACAAAAATTATATATTGATTAGAAGTGATTAGAATATTTTTTGTCAGTAAAAAAAAGATAAAAAATCATACCATTTATTGTAAACAAAAGTTAAATCTCGTTTTTAAAATTTTGTAAAATACAATATATTTTTCTGAAACGTTGAGAAAAATTAACAAATTCAAAGTTAAATTAATCTGATTTGAAACATAAACACATTTGTTGTGATGTCAACGAATACTCGTAGTCACTTTCGTAATGCTCATTGTAGTAGAGACTTTGTAATAGCAGATATATATAGTACGCTGTAGAACAATACTTCGAATAAAACTCTCACTAATAATACTTGCTTGGTAATACTCACTCGAATAGTAATCCGTATAGTGATTCGAATAGAGAAATAGTATAGAGAATAGCGGTACGTATAGTAATAGAGGATAGATTAGAAATGGCGATCGTTTAGATGTCACATTACTACCAACTTATGCGTTTCTTCCATGGTCACGTGATCCACTTAATTCAATAATGGAATCGCCTGTGTTTGCTCACTGGCGATCTATGTTCCGACAGCAACACTTTATTCCTATGTAACAAAATAAAAATGTGTACATCGCTTACGCAAAAAAAAAAAAAAAAAAAAAAAAAAATTCGAACGTGGTAGAAAGGATTAAAAAATTAGAGGTAACTTAATAATTTATGAAATATTATTAATTAATCAAATTAAACGAAACAATACGTTGAAAATGTTCTGCGTTGGCAAACAGAAAACTTATTACTCTTCAGCATTCACATTTCCTCTTCAAAACAAACCGAAGAAAAAAATACGATCGTTAAGATGGGGCGTTCTTCTACATCTTTCATACTCACTAGAGCTTGTATTTGCAGATACTTTCGATCACTAAAACATTTTAAAAATTTTAGAATATTGAGAAACAAAGAAGAAAGAAACAGTCTTACAAACTGTTTTTGGTGAAAAACACAGATTTCTTTAAACGTGGAATCGAAAATTTGCTGCACTTATTCAAAATCAAGCTGATTACATTGATAAATAATATTTAAATAAATACATACATATATCCTTTCTGGTAAAACGTAATTTCTGAACACCCCAATAATTGAATCATGTAAGGGGCGGGTTTGATTAAATTTGAAACCTGTATCATTTTGTCTTTCACAAATTTTCACATCGAAGAGGCGAATACAGTGAAAGGTTAACTATACTTACGAGAGCAAACAGCACCATAAATCGAGAGATGTCCCCGACCATTCGCCCCAAGGATATCTGCAATGGGCCAAGAACTTCAAATGCGGGCATGAGGTAGGTTGTGCGGGCAAAACTGATTACATTTGCTATGGCAAAGAGGACATCCGACACGATCTCAGGATCGTTGGGTTTCCATTGAAACCGGGCTACAAAGTTAAGTTCAGTGTAAATAGACCAATCAAGAAATATTTAGATATCAATCAATAATATTGTAAACATAAAGCGGCATTCAATCATGAAAATCAAGATAAAAATGACTGGACGAGATCTTTAGAATTATGTCAAAGACGAGAGCAAGATCAAAAAATAAAAAAAAATAAATAAAAAAGAAGAAACATTCTATTTTATAGATCTTTTCTGGAATTCTGTTTTGGGATTTGATTTTCATCTATTGCTTGTGATTGTTGCTCGTGAAGTAACAACGGCCATCATATTTATCATAGCCATTATCAATATCGAGTCAAAATGGATCTCAGTAAATGTTATCAGGTCTTTGGTTAATTCAGTGACAACAGCAGACCTTGCTTGCTTTGTTTGATATGAATGTTTCTGAAGAAAACCTTTCTTATGTAACCCGTGATGATTACACAAAGGACATGGCACATAGAAAAAGAAAGGATATTCCGTTTCTTTTATTAAAATCCCCGTTTATTTTATACCGAGAAAAATATTGATCCCTCGATTATTAAGCCACGCCCTTGTATTAGGAATCTATGAATAGGGATTTGAATTTAGTCAGTTTTTGTCAGGTTAATGAATACGCGCATTTAAGAAGACATTGAATATCTAATTCCATTATGTCTATGGATAAACGGTTATTGGCACGGAAATTGGAATCGGCGATTTGAGTTCAAATTCCAGTCTTGTTTGTTGCGTTTACTTTTTCACTAATGCCCTTGAGAAAGGCATGAATCCATATTCTCCCTTCAACTAAACATTTGCATAGATTGATCTATCTAGGCTTGGGTTTTAATCAGGCAAGAAGAAGTAAGAGCTGGTAGAGTGTTTACACCGTGGACATAGGAATCAACATATCGTAAGTGGCTTTCACGCCTTAAATGATCATCAAATGATCGGTTTAAGTAGGAAATTAAATCACTATAAAGTGTTGAAATCTATGTCCACACTGTATATATTGGGTCGGAACAGCAGTGTTTCAAAGAGAATTTCAAAGACAATATTTAGATATTTTTACATGGATTTATTCAGTTATAAATGCACCATTTTGTTCTAATAGCTTTCACATCTTTGAGGCAGCTTCATAATTCCAACCTCCCAAAAATTTGCATCTTTCTGGGACGAACTAGTCGAAGTAGTTTTTATAGGGTTCCAGAGCATTGTTAAAAGGATTTTGCAGAAATCGTGGTAATTTGAACGTGCAAGGTTCTGTGGGCACGATAAGTGCAATAGAATATCTTCCAGTTGCACCAATTTCTGTCAGGTCTGCAGTGAGACGTGAGGTCTAATGTTACAATTGAAGTCGCTTTTCATCGATTGTTAACCTTTAATCAGTTCAATTGGGAACAGTATTTGTCTGAATTCAACGCCTAAAGAAAGGAACTCATACATACTCCAATCCCATCAAATATACAGCATCACCTGATGTAGATCAGATTTTAGAGTAGCTTACGGTGACTCATTTCATTATCCCTTGAACTTTTTCGCCTTAATTGATGTAAAAAATTTCATCTTCTCATCGCCTCTGATCGTTCTTTTAAAAATGTCGTTTTTGTTCAGCTTGAGGAGAGAATCGAAGATGAAAATTCAGTCGATTAGATAAAAAACATTAGGTTGTTTTCAAAATCTTATTTTTTTATACAGCAAATTTCTGTACGGACTTTCTAACAATTTTACTTTTCACACACACACACACACACACACACACACACACACACACACACACACACACACACACACACACACACACGTGTGTAAAGGTGTTTCTTCGAGAAAGAAATTAAAACTCCATTTCCTTGTATGAAATTTGTCAAAAGAACCATAAAATAGACATAAAATAAACACAGAAATTGACTTCGATACTTACAAGCTTCCATAAAATAATTCTTGGGTTCGTGTCGCTTGTCCTTAATCTTTGACAATAGTGTATTGAAATCTGAATAGTTCCCCGTCAATAGAAGCTCCTTTGCTCGTTGTGTTCCATTAAAATATCTGAAAACAAACAAAACCAATTCAGAAAAAAATACAATTACTCAAACTGACTGAATTACCCAAATCTTCCCACATCAGATATGTTTTTGTCATGGTACCTACCTAGATCGACAGAATGAACTCTTCCTAATGCTATATATACTACGTCTCTCAAGAGAGACAAACGGCATTGAGACGGTATTGAATCAAGTCGAGCTGATAGTAGTTCACACCAAACCAGACTGACAGCCATACTAACACCTTCCACCGTATTATTTTTCGTGTAATATATTCTTTGTTATTTCTACTCTGGTACTCCGTGTTATTCTTCCATGGTCCTAACCTTGGACCATAACAGTTTTAGAATCTCTTTTTGGTTGATGTGAGACGTTTTCAGTATCTCCTCAAGCTGTGAACCTTATAAGTGAACTTCATTTTCATTGACATTTTTATATTTTCCCGGATCTTTTATGTCGAAGTCACTGGCTCAGCTAGATCATTAATAACAAAATAAAACTCTCTATTGCACATAAGTTCCAGTTGTTAATGTCCATTCACAAGAAGTCACGTGCGATTTATTTGAACAAAGACAAAATCCGCGGTAAAAAACGCGGTAAAAAAACGAAATTATTTGATTTAAATATATTAACATATACAAGTGTCTTTCTTTTGCTTTTCTATTTACCCTTATAATAAAAAGTTTATTTATTGTTTGGTAAAAAGGCTTTAAAATTTTGTATAGGAGAGACCAGTGATGATCGAACTCATTGCTAATAATATTCAACCAGGCTAGCTCACTAACTAGTGACCCACTTGGGGAATCAATCAGCTTACGTAACAATGCTTGTAAAATAAAAATGAAAAAAAGAAAAAAACTACAAACTACAAAAAACTACACGAATTGTGCTTAAATAATACATTTCAAACTTTCTAAACTTTTAAAACTTTTAATATAAAAACATATTAAGTAATGTTTCTGTTTGAATATCAACGACTGGATTTAATCTTGTCGATCGACTTAACTAAAATTACTAATCTGCTACAGTAAGGTCTTCATATACGAACATAGCCTGTTCCGAAGACTACATATAAATAGGGTTAATTCATTCCAGACAACACATAAAAGCATATGAAACATGGAAACTACAGCAAAATAGCCAATTCAGCAAAATATAACTACAATAATGAACAAATAAATAAATAGAGAAATAAATTGAGAGCAAGAAAATTCGGCATTGTCGTATGACTTCTGCTGGGAGCATTAGCCCTCTGGTACAACCGTTTGGCTTTTGAGCAGAAATTATTGATTGATTTATCAGCGGCAGTTGCGTTTCTTTAATACGCACCAAAATTAATAAAAATGAAATCGAAATCTCAAAATGTGGCACATGAGGGCATCAACAATTCCAGTTGTAGTTAGAGGAAATTGGAGAAAGACTATGAAATAGCACTAAAAGTTATTGGATTCTCGGTAGCATAAACACCACACACCACAAAAAAAAAGCCAGCGGGAAGAGAAACACCATACCCACGTACAACAAAAACGTAAAAACAAACGAAAGAAAATATTCATTAAACTCATACACAAAATCTTCCCTGCATCAAGTACTCTCCACAACACATTCAACAAAAACACAGTAAAAATCAGCTGCAGTTGCACCGAGAACATTACCCAAATAAAAAAAGCACATAAGGAAAAATCAACAAACCACCTGAATAAATTAAACCCACGTGTAACTGAAGAACAAAGAAGCCACTGTAAATGCAGTAGATAAACTAGAAAAATATACATAGAAGTAACTAAATGGATTCTGGAAACAAAGAAACTATGCATACAAAACAACTTTTACAAATAGTAAATACGCGAAAAGCACAATGCTTCCTAAACATATCAAAGAGATTAAAAACAAAAAAAACAAATCACACCAATAACATGGGGAAAAAAAAGGAAAAACAAACTTCAGCCTCCAACAACAAATCCAAAAACTATAAACTCTGAAGAATTACGACAGAATAGTGTTCGATACTCACTGATTCCTTCATATTTTCGGCCTTTTACGACAACTAAACTATGGTTTAGAAATTAATTTAGGGCAATTCGACTTGGTGTAATTGTTAGCAAGCTTGTCTCTCAAGACCAAATACGACTGAATCGTGTTTGATCCTCACTGGATGCTTCATACATTCTGCCAAGTATTTGACAAATATTGGATCGTTTCTCGGGCTTTGGCTGAGATTCGATCACGGATTCGACTAGCTTGGACTGGCTCCGGCTTGGACCTGCTAAGACAAGCCATAACCAGCATTGACTAAGCTCTGACCAGCTTGGACATGCTATGACCAGTTTTGGACCAGTGGCCCTTGAGTGGAAACGCTCGGGTCTCCCATATTAAACCGACATTGTGTCACATCCTGACCCCGTGGGAGTCAAGTAAATATCGCTCTCCCGACGAATTTCGTTGGGGTTTTTGACAAATATTGGATCGTTTCTCGGCTTTTGGCTGAGATTCGATCACGGCTAGGACTAGCTTGGAGTGGCTCAGGCCTGGACCTTCTAGGACAAGTCATGACCAGCTTTGACTAAGCTCTGACCGGCTTGGACATGCTATGACCAGTTTTGGACCAGTGGCCTTTGAGTGGAAAAGCTCGGGTCTCCCACGTTAAACCGACCTTGTGTCACATCCTGACCCCGTGGGAGTCAAGTAAATATCGCTCTCCCGACGAATTTCGTTGGGGGTTTTTGACAAATATTGGATTGTTTCTCGGCCTTTGGCTGAGATTCGATCAAGGCTTCGACTAGCTTGCACTGGCTCAGGCCTGGACCTGCTAGGACAATCCATGACCAGCTTTGACTAAGCTCTGACCAGCTTGGACATGCAATGACCAGTTTTGGACCAGTGGCT